GTTCAACTTAACGTTCAATATCCAAAGAGCTGGGTATGTATTCCTTCACATCCGTATGTATTAGTTTTGTTTTTGTGTATACAGACAAATAAGATACTGATTAAACGAAAATCATTCCTTTTGTTACTGTATGAGAAAAATGTTTGGGCTTGTTGCTTCAAATATTTTTGCACAAACTGTTGTGATTGGTACGAACGATCAGATTATCAGGTGATCGCTATAAAAGCATTATTTTTCATTCAATATTCTTCTCCTGTGTACGAGGCTTAAAGCGGAGCTCCAGTCAAATTTTAAAATATAAAAGTCAGCAGGTACAAAAATTGTAGCTGCTTTTAAAAAACAGGAACTCACCTGTCCCTTGATCCAGCAGTGTCCTCACCGCAGATGGGTTCACCGGCCTTCCTCGCTCCCCGGCGCAGGCATCTTCAGTGGGCAACCGGCTGTGACAGCTTGCAGCTGCCCACTGCGCATGTATGAGTAGCGCTGCGCTTTGTGAATTGTCCCATAGTCTTCTGGGATCTGTCTTGTGTCCCAGAAGACTACGGGGAGGGAGGGAGGACAACTTAGGCCACAGGTGTCAAACTGGCGGTCCTCCAGCTGTTGCCAAACTACAAGTCCCATGAGGCATTGCAAGACTGAGTTACATGCATGACTCCCAAAGGCAGAGGCATGATGGGACTTGTAGTTTCACAACAGCTGGAGGGCTACCAGTTTAAACCCCTGGCCTAGGCGATTGCAGCTGAAGTGGGAGCGGGTACCTGTCAAATGTGGGAACCCCCTCCACTCCCCAAAAGTGCCAATCCTTAACGGGGTGCAGGAGATGAAGCCTTAAACTAACTCTTTTGGGTGGAGCCCTGCTTTAAGGAGAGATTGCGTGCATTCACTGTGTGGCCTTATGTTCTACCTAGTATCCTCAGTTCTGATCAGTCAATATAGTGATATCCTATACAATTTGTTAGACTGTGAGCTTCTCTGGAGCACAGGTATTCTTATGAACGATTCTGTGTGTCCTGGGCAATAAAGCAATAGCAGCTAATATATGAAAACTGTGTTGTGATTTTCTTAGACTTTTGGGCACTTTTTCTAGAATATAAAATGATGATGGAACTGACATTTGTGATCCCACCTATATACATGCACATGCTGCAATCTATACTCTTTGTGCAACAAATACGGTTCCTAAGCACCAAGGCCTCACTATTACAAGGATGGAATGTGCAGTCATTTGCATTGGCATTTCATGTATTTAGAGTACAAGAAGCTGAAAGCTGTGAGGCCTACAGACACGTTGCTCTAGGGATCCACAAAACACAGATGTAAGACAAGTAACCGGGAACCAAATGGAGTGCAGGTCAGGAAAACAGACAAAAGAATAATATACTGCAAGAATATACAAATGACAATCTGCTGTATGTATTCTACAACCAACCACTGACCTCTACCTTGTCAAGAAAGACAGTTGTACAGATAGAGGGTATTTCACTTACTTTGCAGACATTTCCACTAACATCCTGTAGTGTCTCCAGGTCAGCAAGTGAAATATTTTAAATGTGACATACATGGCATAAATAAACAAACTGGTGGGGATTTTAACTCTCATACTGTATTCAAAATTAAAAGAAAACCTTTTGGTTATACATACACTTTAAAGTTCATGTTTAAAATGTTGCTAAACCCACAACAGTAAAATCAGTCTGTATATGCAGTAAAGCATGCTTGTTATACTCCCTGTGGAACCTAAGGGGTTAATCAGCCACATTTTGTATAAAGGCTAATTGATTCTGTCTTCTCTGATCCTCCCCTTTCCCTTCACAGTCCCCAATCCATCTGTTGATAGTTCAGGAGTCACTCGGCACATGCTCAGTTTAGTGTGTATTGCTAGAGAGGTTTTTTTGGGGGTGGGTGCATGTGATCAGCGCATGGCTAATCAGCACTGTCCAGACAGAGGGTCAGGGGTCATGCAGCTCCACAGGACAGTCAGAGGAGAATGAAAACTCCTCCTACAAGATTAACCAGTGCTCAGCCAGACACTGATAGAAGTCACAACACTGCTACTGGTGATAGGAAAAGGTATTTAGCAGTTAATGTTTACTAAAATGATTACATTTCCATGTTCTGTGCATTGTGGAGGATTGGATATAGTGAATGCAGGGTTTAGTAACACTAAGTAAATTTAAGGTACGCAAACACTTAATGACAATGCTCAGCCAATGGTTAAAGTGGAACCTAACTGTATCTGAGCACCACAACCCAAAAACACTAGTTAATTCATTTTTATCCACTTGCCTACCAGGCCAATTCTAACATTTCACTCCTACATGTAACATTTATTTATTTGCTAGAAAATGACTTGGAGCCCTAGAGAATAAAATGTTGGATGTTACATGGTAATTGCACAGTGTTTTTTCTCTCCTCTGACCTCCAATGCAGTCGACCAGACACAGATCGGTCTGACTGGCTGCTTCACTGGCCGATAATCACTTCAGGGAGCAGATACCGGTCAGTGGGAGGAACAAACGTAAGATGCTCCTACTGTATCAGGGGAGCTGATGACACTGGTTGCATCTTTACCAGGCTCCCTGATTGCATATGAGAGCCTGGGGGTAGAGGTACTCCCTTCGACCACCTGGAAAAGTAATCCAGCGGCTACATAGGTGGTCGGACTACTTTTACATAAAAGAGAACAGCCAGCACACAAAAAAAATTATACCGGAATCATGGCTGTAGTCTCAACCATGATCCCGGTATAACAGCTTCAATACGTGTATGCGGTATTGAAGCCGTTAATATTGAAAGCAAAGTCACCCATACACCATGTTTTATTTGGTTCAGATCTCACTTTGAAAAACATCCCACTAGTATTTCTAGCTGCAGTCATCTTGGATGAGGGAAGAGTCATGTAGTATTTATTTCATTGAATCCATCTGCCCTTAGCTTAGGCTCACAGGCAGGGGAATGTACTGAGCTTAGAAAACCCCTCCTCAAGATGAAAGAAAAAAAATGCACATAACTCTTGGAATGTATGATATCTTTTTGGCCTAGGCCACAAACCTGGGAGCAACTGAAGAAATGTAAAAAGAAATAAATTTTATATACATTCTCACCTATTTACTACGGCTAGCAGCATAAGAATTAAAATAAAAATACAAACTTTTCATTAATTCATTTTCTAAATGGTCACTCGCCCACTCTTTCCACTCCATCCAAATGATGCTTGATGCCTTGTGCCAACATCATACATCGTGGGATCTCCACAGCTCTGTTCAACACTACTGTATTAATAGTGATACAACCTACCAGAGCCCCTGTCAATTGCCAGCCAAGGGTGGGATGGGAGGCACGTCTGCTTGTATGCTCATGATTCATATTGGGCAGCACAGTGGCTAAATTGTTAGCACTTCTGCCTGGCAGTACTCGGGTCGTTGGTTCAAATCCCAACCACGGCACCACCTGCCTGGAGTTTGCATGTTCTCCCTGTGTCTGCGTGGGTTTCCTCCGGATACTCCCGTTTCCTCTAACACTCCAAAACCATGCTGGTAGGTGAATTGGCTCCTGTCTAAATTGGCCCTAGTATGTGTATGTATGAATGTGAGTTAGGGACCTTAGATTGTAAGCCCCTTGAGGGTTAGGGACTGATGTGAATGTACAATATATATGTAAAACTCTGCGTAAATTGACAGCACTATATAAGTACCTGTAATAAATAACATGTCAGTACAACATACAGCAAACCACAAGCCTGTGCACACAGGCATATTCCTCTTTAAAGGATAAATATAATGGTGTATTTTGGTACCCTGAAGCTGCATACAGCTGCCCATGGACATGAATGGGTGTAAACGACTGTTAGCGCGTATGTGCCCCGATCTGTGTAAAGTGACACATGCACACAGATATAAGGTCCCAAATGCAGGAAAAGAGTACTGGACAGCTTGATAATGAGAAACAAGAATGTACCCTGGTTTTCTCATCATGAGGAAGAAGGTAGAACCTGCTGGCAGGACCACTGGGTAATCTTAAAAAAGGAGAAGTAAGAATTGGCATGTAGATAATAATTATTGTTGAACAATACAAAACAATATTTGCAAGGTTTTAATTTTGGGTTTACTAACACTTTAAGCTAAACTAACTAAACAACAACCCCATTGTCATTTCCAAAAAAACAATGGCCCTTTCTATGAAAAAGTGCTCACTGTTCAAACATGAGTTGTGCTGTGTCACCTCAACTTCTGCTAATGTCGAAATTCTCCCCCTACAGAGATTTCCCAAATTCAGTTGCTCATTCTGTTTTGTGGTCGTCTGTCTTTGGTTCAGCATCCTTTTGAATAGGGAACACTTCTAACATCTCACATAAGCATAAGGTAAAGCAATCTTATTGTATGTATTTCAGGTACTTATATAGCGCCATCAATTTACACAGCACTTTACATATATATTGTACATTCACATCATTCCCTAACCCTCAAGGGGCGTACAATCTAAGGTCCCTAACTTACATTCATAGATACACATATTAGGGACAATTTAGACAGGATCCAATTAACCTACCAGCATGTCTTTGGAGTGTGGGAGGAAACCGGAGTAAACCCACACAGGTACAGGGAAAACATGCAAGTTCCAGGAAGGTAGTGCCGTGGTTGGGATTCAAAGTGATGACCCTAGTACTGCTGTGCTAACCATTTAGCCACTGTGCTGCCCAATCTGCTATGAAAAGCGCAGCATTCAGTTTTGGGGCTTCTTTTGTGGATCAGTGTTTTCCATGCTAGTGAAAGAGGTTAAAGTGTACAGAAACACTAATATACGAGGGGTCTTCAAAAAGGTTTCCGCACTTTGATACATATATATCTTACAAAAAGTGACGAAACGTTTTGAAGAACTATCATACTTTTCTTATTTGCTGCTCTTTGTTGGCCTGGTGAATATAGCATTGAAAGACTTTTGTTATATATCTGTTTAAGAAGTGCCAATAATTTCTGCCAGAAACCGATCAAGCTGATAACTTCCTGAACACTTTCAGGTTGATTTACTAAAACTGGAGAGTGCAAAATCTGGTGCAGCTCTGCACAGAAACCAATCAGCTTCCCATTTCTTTTGTCAAAGCTTAACTGAAAAAGCTGAAGTTAGATCCCGATTGGCTGCCTTGCACAGCTGCACCAGATTTTGCACTTTCCAGTTTTAGTAAATCAGCCCCTATGCTTTGCTGCAGATAGAATTGTTCTCTATGAGCTACAGAACCCCTGTCCCTATGTTATGGAGATAAGAAAGGGGAGGTGTATTGCACTCCCAACACTGGCCCACTAAAGATACATTACAGCGAGTGAGTGTTGTCACCCTAGGGATAGGAAGTGTGTTTCTGGCAGGATCGCCAGCTGCAAAAAAAGGGGGAAAAGCCAGAAAAAACAACTGCCTTGTTGGCATATTTTTTGCTTGAGTCTCCCCACTGTCAGAATACAATAACACAGCAGGGAGGATTTCTGCATCCACATCTAGTGTGTGGATGGGGGAATTGGGTCAGTTTTTTTCCCTTAAACCCACTGTTTGAATGAAAAAACTGACCCATGTATGACCATTTTTAAGTGGTTGTAAACCCTTACCTGTACCCAGTGAAGTGACTGACCTCAGATAATACACAAAGATGAAAAAAATCCTTCTACATACGTTGTACCTGTTTATCTATAGCTATCTGTCCCATACAACCAAAGTGAAGAATTTACACAGGATCTTTCAGCTCTGAAAAGAAGGGGGTGGAGAGCTGCAGTTACACACTGTACAAGAGCTCTGGGAGCTGATTGGAGGGAAGGAACACAACCTCCTTCACACAGCTCACAGGAACAGAGCTGAGGCTGTCATTCACAGGCTGTACTCTCCTCTGTTTCTATTTTTCTCTTGGTGAGGAAAACCTGTCAGAAGTGACTCATGCAGATAGAGGAAGGAGGCATCAGACAGAAATGACACTTAGTGCTCTTAATTGAGACAAGTACACACTATAGAGAGATATGCTTTGTTCATATTTCATGTCTGAGGTTTACAACCACTTTAAGTAAAGGAAAGCATCTGCCGCCCACAAACTCAATGGAGTCCATCTACAATCTATGAAAGGTATGGGATGGGCTTAGAAGGAAGACAACTGCAGCCAGCAGATAAGGGTGAGTGGTTATCAAAAGAAACTCACACAAATACAACTATGAGTGTTTAACAAGTCAAACCGTCTCCTGTACATACAGGATTATTATTGTGCTATTGATCTTAGAGGAAGAACAGGAAATGTCTAAGTCTTTGCTGTGGAAGGAAATGACAGCAAATGTTGTGGGATCAAGAAATATGGTCTGGTCCCAATAATCAGCAGGTCTCTCTTGGAAAATGAAAGGGACGCCACAAATGTGCACACTCCCCAGGGATGGGACCACGGCACTTTCTGCCTAGTCCTGCTCAGAAGGGGAGCACAGCTAATGCTACTGTGACAATAGAGATAGCTGCCCCTTCTAGAATAGAGGAAGGAGACCTCAAGGGAAACAATTTCGCTAAAGTGAGGTACACATGTACTGAAAGTTGGCTGGTTCAGCAGGTACACGTGTACCCCTCTCTGGTCTAACACAGTCAGAATACAAGAGCATAGTGGGGGAGATCCCTGAATCTGCATGACCTGTGTGGATGCGGGATCTGTCAGGTTTTTTACACTCAACCCGCTGGTGCTCAACCGAAGTGTATACCCTGCTTAAAAAAGAAAAAAAAGAGACAGGTAGGACTCTCCCAAGGAGAATCGCTCCTACCCACCTGTCCCTTCATGCAGGTACACTGTCCTGGGCATCTTTGCCTGAACAGGATGGGGGTCTCTGCAACTAGAATGAAGGACACATAATACTTTCAAAGTTGTTCCCCCCCCCCCCCCCAGGCAGATGAAAGACAAAGAACTGAGGCAGACATGTAGCTCATGTACACGGGTGAATGAAAGTCTGTGTTCAGAATCGTACTGTTTACAGTTTCATAAGGATCTGAATGCAGCAGTATTGAACACTATGAGCGCATGAAGTATAAAACTGCAGCGCTTAAAATTGATAGTAATAAATAGGGCAAAGTTCTTATATGATATGAGTAATGACAAATATTTTTCGTATTGGTAATAGAATAATAATAAATATGTGCAAAATTCATATACGATATGAGTAATAAAACCAATAATATATATATATATATATATATATATATATATATATATATATATATATATATATATGATAAATAGTTCATATTGGTGACTACAAGGGTGCCCTTATAGTTCTAAGCGCTTCAGTCGGTGCGTGTGCTCGTTTTGAAACGTGAAGAAATGCACACTCACCGGATGCGCAATGTTTATGCACGTTGTATAATATATCCTGGTGTCATCAAGGTAATCATCTGGGCCAGTTGTGGAAGTGACTCCCTCTCAGGATGGATAGGTCCCAGGGCTTTAAATGATGATCCAGGGTGTCCAGAGTTCCCCTTCGGGGATAGGTGGGTGCAGCTCACAAAGGTTAACTGGACGCTCCCTCTCTGGAGGAATAGGGCTGGTATTGGTGGGCATCCAAAAGATCAATACTCCCCAAAGGAGTCAAGATAAAAGAATGCCCATAATGTAGTATGTTACATAAATCATTTATTAGGGTTTAAAAAGATGCATCCAAAGGTGAATGATAGACAGATATTAGGACTAACCGTTCCCGAATAAAGATGGCCGCCGGAGCTCCACAATGCTCCGACAGCGTGACGTCACGGGGTAATTGGCTCCTTATTACGTGTTTCGTGCACCAGCACATCTTCAGAGGGAACTTCTAAAAACTATGAGCGCAATGACACACCTGCTCTGGAGTCAGGATTCCTCCCATAGCATTGAGCTGAGTAAACCATGTACCGACCGTGACCATATTCTACACAGAATGTAGATAAACGTTGGTGAAAACATTCACATGTCAACGCATAAACGGCCATGGCTACATGTGCCACCGCTGCTGGCTAGTAAATTGATGTAGAAAGGACAATGTACACAATGTGTAGGCAGCAGCCCAGAATGACCTCAGTATTCAGCCGTTTCACATAGTCCTAAATCTCAAAATTGTGTGAGACGCACACTGCGTTTGCAATCTAAAGGTCATTCAGTTAGGACGTACATCTAAATGAAAGGTAATTTTATGACATGCTTACATGAGATTTCTCTTTATCAGCCAGTAAAGTGAATAGGTGATGTCAGGCTGGGAAGGTGTAGCAAAGGTGAATAATAAATAGCTATGAAAAAGCAGTTTCTGGAATGTACGCATGACCATTTTAAACCTCTTTCTAAAAATATCAATAGATAAATAGAATTTCAAAAGGGAACTATCTGGACTGAAACTGGCGACAACAATGACGCTACATAATTATGAGTGAACCAACAGGCTTCATCCTGAAGAAGGAACTGAACTCTGGAAGCTGTACCCAAAAGGCAGGCAAGGGGTGAAGAACTAGTTACCAGTATTGCCTGGGGCCTCCCTGCAGTTCATCTTTTCCCATTACTTCCCATGCCTTGTCTCTCTATGTATTTCATCTTGGTTGAGGAAGGGCTTTGCTTCCTCACACTGGTGCCTCCAGCAAAGAGAACATTGAGCAGCAAAGTAGTGACATCACCAAATCTTGCTGCAAATCTCCTGCTTGGGAACATTCACATACCAGGTGCACTGATATTTTTCAGGAGGAACTAAAGACAAGTGGTACTTTTTTTTAGAGCACTGCCTAGAACAATTAAAGTGGCTGTATTTTTTTTTGTACATTAAAATAAAAAATGTTAAACTTACCTTCCCTTAGTTCCTCTTCTGGAGTCTATCACCAGTACTCTCGGCTCCTCTTCTCAAGTGCCACCTCAGCAAGCCAGGTAATGAGGGGGCACTCATGCAGGTGTGCTCCCGAGCTGAACTGTGTGTATCCATAGACACACACCGCTTGGTTCGGCCATGCCCCTGTTCCCTCCTCACAGGATTTGATTGACAGCAGCAGGAGCCAATGGCTCCTGCTGCTCTCAGAGACTCCTGTGAATGCAGGGACAGAGGAGCTGTGCTGCTACACATGGGACAGGACTCAGATAAGTGTTTACGGATGGCTGAGGGGGGGGGGGGTACAGAATGCATTAAGGTAAAAAAAAAGCCACTTGAATATTTCTACATGTTCCCCATAGAAAAGCTTCACTATCTCTTAGATTGTAAGCTCCAAGGAGCAGGGTCCTCCTAACCCTCTTGTATTGAACTGCATTGTTGCTGTATTGTCTCCTGTTATATTGTAAAAACGCTGAGCAAACTATTGGCGCTATATAAATACTGTATAATAATAATAATTTGGGATAGTTCCACTTTAAACAGCTGTCAGACCAAAAAAAGACCCCCCCCCCCCAAAAAAAAAAACTGATTTGGTAGCACATATATATATATTTTTTTTTAAGTCAGTGATCCCTGACAATCATATTCTGTATAGAATACACCATATTAAAAATGAGCTGTATAAAAGGAAGAAAGGGCTCGTAACTTGTGGGTCATTGTGGTAAAGGGGGCCGACAGCACAGCAAACTACATAATAGCTGGAAATTCTTGTCCTTCCACTCTTTGGAATGCCGGTTATCTTTGGAAACATCATTAGCTGAATTGGCAATAGTCACTCGGCTCACATGTAACCCTAGACACACCAGCTAGCTTGCTTTGCTGGACGGCCTGTGGACAAAAGAATAACCCCGCTATATGGTTATAAAATCATCCAATAGCTCAACAGGCATTAAAAGATGGCACAACATCTAACATCTAATAAACATCAACTGATTGTATGTGACAGGCCAAGTTGTAAAACATTACTTGCTTCTAACACTTTCCTTAATCTGAGCAGCCAGTCTCTGGTTCTGTCACTGTACCCCTTCAGCTACTAATGTGTGAAAACCGATAAAGATGTGTAATTACACCCAAAACTGATTTTTAGTTTGGGTGGAGTAGTCTGGCCTTTGCTGTTTGGAAGCTCAGTGGTATGATCTCCCCTAACCTCGTGACAAGCTTTAAGCTCTGCTGAATCGCTGAGCTACTAGTTGTCATCAGCTTGTGTGTTTTCACCATATACTCCAATGTAAAATACACTAGAAGAAGATTGAGGTTTTTATT